AAGCAGTACAATGGTGCTCAGATTGATCTTCTAGCGGCCTATCGAACAGAAAGAGTAAAAGTAAAGTCTTCATAGAAATGAATCAGGTAACATCCGTTAGAAAAAGAAGCCTTGAGCCTAACTAAGGCTGCTCATCGAAGACCCCAACTCTGGGGCTGTCTATGAAGTTGGTGCTGATGCCCCTACTCCGCTCCGCTAAGGGGTCAATGGGTGCCTTGTATTATTATTACTTTTCTTTTTCTAAGAGTATCAGACGCGAATGCGTGTTCTTAAGGGTTTGACACCTTATTTTCATTAATCAAAGAAAGATTCATTGTGTGTAGCAATAGATATAGAGTATGCAACTAAGTATGCAACTAATTAAGTGTGTATATATAGGGTATCATGCAGAATCAGCTGTGGGGGAGAGCTGTTCATTACAGCAGTGTCAAAAACGTCAGTGAAGATTGAGCAGAAAGAAGAAGACAGTTGCATGCACCCTCGCATGCACCCATGCATGCACCCATGCATGCACCGTCGCATATCTATTTTTTGCCTTTGTTTGATGGTGTCTGTTGTAAGTTGCGTGTTTTGATATAACAAGTGCCTAGGCGCTCTTTCTGCTGTTCTTGTGGAGCACTGCCGATAATACTTTTCATATTCTCTGCAAATAATAATCAGCGGGGTCTATGCTGCATTACCACTGCCGATAATACTTTTCATATTCTCTGCAAAATATAATCAGCGGGGTCTATGCTGCATTACCCTGTGCCCCAACAGGTCTCTGTCTATTGCTAATCGCGATGCCCTGCTGTTGAGCTTAGCAAGAACAACAACAGTGTGAACATGAGTAGGAGTAAGCAGAGAGAAGTTTAAAGAATCGGCACCAAGTGCCTATCTTAAGGAGACAGATACAATATGAGGGCATGCATGCAGATGACTGATACTTCCAGCCCCAACACTTTATGCAGGGCTTTCTCTGTTTTAGTTGATACATCAAGAAGCTATGCAATATGCACTCTCTACTTATTGGCTGGGGGCTAAACATACCTCTCTGTGTTTGGTGAAGAGTTTCTTCTATTGATGCATGCAATCAGGGAGAGTAATGACAGCCATATTGCTTCACCTATTCTTTTAAAGTATGAAAATCGTAATAACAAACTTCGCTGCATTTTTATAGATGAGAGCCCCCCTTCAAAAGAAGCAACAGATTACTTCACTGCTCTTTCATCACAAAGCCTGAAATGTCGGGGCGCTAAGCAAAGACGGGGTTATATTTTTGCCTTTGTTTAGAAGTAGTAAGTACAAACACTTTTATATAAATTGCTAAAGGAGACTACACTTAGTTCAATGCAATGTTAAGATAAGGCTACAGCCTCAAAAAGATATTAATAAGAAGAAATAAGTCAGGAGAAGAGGACTTCATAATTAATTAGTGCTATGATATATGCAAGCTGATTATAACGCGCAACAAGATGTCTTGAGCTAAGCTGAAGCCCTTTGTGACAAAGTTTATTCAATAATATCTTTAAATAATCTTCCGTCTCCTCTACTCTCTAGGCTCTTGCCCAACAGCGCAACTGCTTATATACTTTAACTTGTGCTTAGGCTGCTACCTGCGTGCTCTTTAGGAAGTGCTGATTAGCGAGTGTGTACAGCAGCTGCATGCATAGAAATAGGGATTGCGTATGCTTGCACGCACTAATGGGGCTGCCTTGTAGAAGGCGTTAAAACAAACTATGCTGCATGCAACTCATGCAAGCAGCCCCCTCTCGACAGCAGCTTGGGGCCCTCAAGCAGCTGGGGGCTTGGAGACAGGCGAGGAGCTCAGCTGCCCTTTGGGGTCTCCTTAAGCCTCTTAGAGAGGATATGTTTGCGTATTAGAGCTGCTCGTAATGCAGCAGCCCCGCATGCAAGCAGTGTAGCTGCTTCCCTGATCCCTGCATGCAGAAACAATGTTGATAGTTGTTATTATAGGCGGCTAATAGATAGAATAAACTACACACAACTTGGTGCTATATATACATTCATAATAATCTGAGTTATAACACCACACAGTAAATTGTCTCCTTTTGTCTCTGTCTCCGTCGCTGAAGGAGACAGGAGCTGCTCAACATATAGCTCTCTAAAGCATCTGCATAAGAGTTAACGATAAAAATAAATAAAAAAAGACAATAGGGGTAATAAAATGTGAGAAGAAACACAGTAGAAACGTCTGCATGCATTGGAGCAGCAGCAGCAGCAGCAGAAAGAGAGCAGCGGTACTGGGGGGCAGCACAACGAGCGCATGCATGCATGCGTTTGCTGTATGCTGATGTTGTTGTATGTTGTGTTGTAGACTTCGGGTCTTTTGGGGCTTTTTCTCACTCATTTCCAACTCTATTTCTTTTTATTTTCTGCTTTTGTTGTTAATTTGTCTCGCTGCTGTGTCTCTGGTGTATGCGCCTCACTGTGCAGGTTTGTTGTAACAAAAGTTTTAATGTGTTGGTGTCTTCAATTGCCTATTTAAATTGAATACCCTCTCTTCTTCTCATCTGTCTCAATTGGGGCCCCTGTATATACCCTTCGCCAGCCCCAAGTTGCATGCACTCATGAGGTGGATGTACACCTCATGACTCTCTTCTTCGTTCTTCACGGAGCAGCACTCCTTCACTGAACTTCATTACCTCTAAGCCCTTCACTTACTGCAGAGGGAGGCGGGAACAGAAGAAAGAAGATGCGCTCCCTGGGGGGCGTGCGGCAGCAGCAGCCGCAGCTGCAGCAGCACCAGCCGCAGCAGCAGGAGCAGCAGCAGCAGCAGCAGCAGCATCATGATGCTGCTCGCTCCTTCTTGGGGCGCCGGCGCGGCGCATGCGGCTTGACGTTTGGGGCTGTTTGTTTGCTGCTGATTGCATGCGTTTGCTGCTGGGCCGCGCCAGCTGTCCTGGGGTTTCCTATGGATGCAACACGCAACGCGGAGCTGCAGCAGCAGCGGGAGCAGCAGCAGCAGCAGCAGCAGCAGCAGGAACGCGAGCAAGCAGCTCTTGCTCTTCTCACTCTACATGAAAAATACAGCCCACCAAACTGCAAGTATCACCCGCTGCCTTTCTCCCTCAACAGCTTCAGTCTCCTGAGTAACAACGGTAAGGGTTTAGGGTTTAGGGTTTAGGGTTTAGGGTTTGAGAACTGCAGGTTGGGGTTTGCATGCGTCTCTCTCTCTCTCTGTTTGTTTAGCTTCATGCTTGATATTGATTTGTGTCTCTCTTGTCTCTGTTGTCTGGGGTGTCTGTACACCTCACTTGTCTCCGTGTGTTTTGCTGTATTCTCGCCTTCTTTCTTCTGCATTCTTTTGTTTGTTTGTTTGTTTATATTATTTGTTTGTTCGCTTATTTCATTTGTTTGTTTGTTTTTTGCTTGTTTGTTTAGTCTGTGCTTGTTTATGTTTTATGCTATTTGTTTGTTGTTAGTTTGAATGCCTGCTGCATATATATATATATATAAATATATATATATATATATATATATGCGTTTGTATATACTTATATTTCTTTTGTTTTTGTTTGCTTCTTGTCTTTGTTTGTCGCTGTTTTAGTTGGCTGTTGTTGTGTTTTGTTTGTTTTGTTTGTGTTTATCTTCTTGCTTCTTACTGCTTTTGTTGATGGTAGTTTGCTGCTGCTGCTGCAGCACCGCAGCAGCAGAAGCCCAGCAGCAGCAGCGCAGCATTAGCAGGGACTCAGCAGCAGCAGCAGAAGCAGCAGCAGAAGGGAGAAGCAGCAGCAGCAGAAGCAGCAGAGCAAAGGCAGCAGCTGCACCAGGGGTGAAGCAGAGGGAGCAGCATTACTCGAGTGTTGCTGCAGTTTGCTGCTGTTTGCTGCTGCTGCGCTGCTGTGTCTTGCTGCAGGGGAGATTATTTTATCTGATGTCTTTGGGCTGCCGGGGGCTTGCGAAGAAGAAGAACATCATCTCCGCTTTTCTCTGCCTCCTCATGTTAAGGACGGTATCATTAGCTTTTAACTCTCTCTGTCTCTGTTTGTCTCTGTTTGTATCTGTCTCTGTCTCTCTTTGTTTGTCTCTGTTTGTCTCTGTTTGTCTCTCTTTGTTTGTCTCTGTTTGCCTCTCTTTGTTTGTGCCTCTGTTTGTCTCTCTTTGTCTCTGTCTCTGTTTGTCTTTGTTTGTCTCCGTTTGTCTTTGTTTGTCTCCGTCTCTCTTTGTTTGTCTCCGCCGCTTTCACTTTTTTCGTTTCTTTATTGCATGCATTTAATCCTCCCTCCAGACAAACATAACCCCTTATAACCTTATGCCTCATCAAAACATTATTTGCTTCTTAGAGCTGCATGCACGCATGCAGCCCCAAAACCAACACTGCATGTGTCTCCTCACCTTGGGATGTACGCACACTGGGGACCCCACAGCGTGCATGCATACATGCATGCATCAAATGCATGCATGCATGCAGCAAGTACATGCATGCATGCATGCAGCAAATGCATGCATGCATGCAGCAAGTACATGCATGCATGCAGCAAATGCATGCATGCATGCTTATTTTTTTTCTGCAGGTCGCACTGTGCTTTCCGTTAGCCTGGACCTTCATCGGGACAGCTTTGTGGAGTTTAAATATATTGAGCTGTACAGACAGCCCAAACAAAACGCCCTTCCTATCCCTCTCAAACGTGCGTCTTCATGCATGCATCAAATGCATGCATGCAGTAAATGCATGCATGCATGCATGCATTTGCTGCCAGGTGCTGCGCGGCGTGGGGCTGCGAGTTTGATTGCTTTGCTTTCTTTGCTGTCCGGTCTGAGAAGAGGAGGGGGAGAGGGTGTTTATTGGTGGGGTTGCTGTTTAAGGGTTGTTATGTTTCGCTGTCTTGTTCATTTGCTGCAGACAGCCAAGCAGACGCAGCAAAGCTGGAGGAGAGGAGGCGTACAGCTCAGCAGACAGCTACGTACGTTTGTCTCTTTTTATTTTGCTTTCATATTCTTTTAATATTTAGTTTATGTTTGTCTCTTTGTTTGTTTGTTTTCTTACGATTTCTCTTTTGCTTGTTTGTTTTTATATCTTTTGTTTTTCTACCCCTCTTTTGTTTGCCTTCCTCGTATTTGTCTCTAGTGTTTGTTTTTCTTTTGTTTGTCTCCTTTTGGTTTGTCTCTACGTTGTTAGTCTCTTTCTAAATCTATTTTGCTGTCTCTTTATTGTTTGTCTCTCTTTTATTTGCTGCTCTGTCCTTGTCTCACCCCCTTTCTCTCTTTTTACTGTCTCTTCTTGTGTTGTTTGTTTCTCTTTTTGTCTCTGTGTTTGTTTGTCTTTGCGTCTGTTTGTCTCTGTTTGTCTTTGTCTTCGTCTCTGTTTATTTTTATCTGTTTGTCTCTTCTTCGTTGCTATCTGTCTCCTTTTCTGTTTGTATGATTGACTGTCTCTGCGCCAACCTCGTGTTCTTCAACGTGGAGTCGGGGCCTCATACAAGGCTCGAGGTTTAGGGTTTAGGGTTTAGGGTTTAGGGTTTAGGGTTTGCGTGCAGCATATTGGAGGGTGCGGGAGGGGCGAAGACGCGCGCGGTGCTCAGCGCCCCCATAACAGACCCTGAAGGAGCGTTTCTATACTACCTTGTGAGTGCTGTTACTGGCTAGCTACCTAGCTAGCTAGCTAGCTAAGCAGGCAGCTAGCTAGCTGCCTATCTGACTGCACAGGCGCAGCAGCGCTGTCGCTAGCTGGCTAGCTAGTTCCGTCTCCTGAGCTAGCTGTCTGCAGCAGCACAGCTGTTTGGGGTGGCGTTGATGCATTGCTGGGTGTAATGGTAGTGCTTCATGTGGGGCTTTGCATGCATGCATGCACGCATGCATGCATATTAGCTGGCTTCATGTGGGGCTTTGCATGCATGCATACATGCATGCGCATGCAGGTGATTGCCGTAACCCCCACCGCCGGGAGGCCCTCGCTAGCTGCAGAAGAGGGGAGGACCCATGTGCTGCTGCCCTGCCACCCGCTACGGCTTGATCTTGCGCTCGTACCTTACGGTAAGCAGCTAGCTGAAGCACGCCTAGCTAGCTAGCTAGCTAGCTAGCTAGCCAGCAGCCAGCTAGGGGCCTTTCTCGTAGCTAGCCACTCCTTCACGCGGGCACTGCAACCCCACCTAACACCACCCGAGGGGGGCACTCTGTTGCTGCGTTCTCCGCAACGCTTATCCTTCTCCGATAGCTAGCTAGCTAGCTAACTGATTGGCAGTCTCTTTAGCCTTCTCACCCATATCCAGCACCTTGTGCAGCGCGCACTCCCAGCGGCCGCAGAGTTCATTTGTCTTGGCTACCCAGCTAGCTAACTAGCTAGCTAGCTAGCTACTTAGCCAGCTAGCTAGCCAGGTAGCTAGCTAGCTAAGTAACTAGCTAAGTGGGGGTGTGGCTGCAGACCGCATGCACCTCTACATGCCGTCTTCCTGCCCCTCCGCTTCCTTCCTCCCTACTGCGCCGCCGGAGTTCGTAAGCCATCCACGGTGTACAGACACCCCACGGTCACACCCAAACCCTAAACCCTAAACCCTGGCCGCTGTGTGATGTGCACATGCCTGGAGGCAGCGGCACTCACAATGCACTAACTCCGCTGCGGAGAGGACTCCCAGCGCTTCTGTTTTCTTTCTCGCTATTTCTGCTGCTGCTGTTACTGTTGCTGCCTTTTTTTCTGCTGCTGCTGCTGCTGCTGCTGCAGACACTGGCGGACGAAGGGCTGTCCTTTGAAAGCCCTGTGGAGACGCCCTTTGTGCTGAACTTCGCTGGGGAGGAGCCGTGGAAGCCGTTCACTCGCGCTGTCTTTCAGGTACTGTGGGGTTGTGGGGTGTCTCCTTTGTCTCCTTTTTGTTGTTTTTACTGTCTCTTCCTGCGTCTCCTTGTTGCGTTTGCTCTGACCCCCGGCTGCCTTCCTTGTTGTTGTTTATAGTGTCTCTTCTTGTGTCTCCTTGGCGTCTGTCTCTGTCTGTCTGCTCATTCCGTTTACTCTCTCCTCATCTGTCTCCTTGTTATAGCGTTTGATGTCTCTTTGTCTGTCTCCTTGTTAGCTTTGTTGTCTCTCTGTCTGGTGTCTCCTCCGTCTTGTGTGTTGTATTCAGTGTGTCTCTGTCTCTCTCCCTGTTGCTGCGCTTGGTGTCTCCTTGCCTGTCTCCTTGCTATGTTTAATCTCCTCCTACTGTCTCGTCGTCTGTCTCCCTTCTGTTGCGTTTACTGTCTCCGTCTTGTTTTTGTTTTTTATTTTCTCTGTCTTTTGGCGTGCCTCTCGTGCTGTTGTCTCCACGACCCTTTACCTTCATGAGTGTCTCCTGTCTTTCTACTTCACTCTCCCCTCTGTCTTTGTCTTTGCCTCCGCTTCCCTGACTGTCTCTGTCTCTGTCTCTGTCTCTCGCTCTCTGTGTGTCTATTTCTTTCGTTGTCTTTGTCTCTGTTTGGGGCTGTCGCCTATTCTTATTCCTGTGGCTGTGTTTGCTTACCTCCTTGCCTCTTTGTTTTTTATTTATTTGTTTATTTGTCTCTTCTTGTTGTCTCTGTCTCCCCTGTAAGGTCTTTTAGCCTTCTCTGTCTCTGTCTCCTTGTGTCTCTGTGTGTCTCCTTTTGTCTGTATTTGTCTTCATTTATATCTAATTTATTTGTTTCCTTTCGCCTCTTTTTTTGTGTTCTTCTTGATGTATTTATCTTGCTGTATATTTATCTGTCTCCTTTTGTCTTTGTCTTTATATATTTATCTTGTGTCTCCTTTTGTCTGCTTCTTTTCTGTATTTGTTTGTCTTTATAGACGGCAGTGCGGGTGCCTCCCCGTCTGCATCGCTTTGTACGCATTTATATGCGCGTCTCTTTTCGGTTTGTGTCTGGTAAGCGAATGTGAAGAAAATAATTAATTATTATTATAATAAACCCATAAGAAGCAGCGCAGCAAACAAATACAAGAAGTTATTTATAGGGGTTAAAGAGCAGGGCCTCCTTAGGCATGCATGCGCATATGCATGCATGCATATACGCATGCATGCATATACGCATGCATGCATGCACGGGTGCATGCATTTGTGCATGCATGCATGCAGGCCCCTTCCAACTGCTGCTCGAACTGTTTGATGAGGAGACACCGCCAGACGCGGCTGCTACGCAGCCTGCATGCGTATTGGGTAAGCGGGGCTGCTACATGCATGCATGCATGCCGTACGAGGAGTGTATGATGAGCGGAAGGCAGCAGCAAGGGCTTTAGAAATGCTTCAACATGTGCAGAGCAAAGCCTCGCTGCATACGCCTTAGGCAGGGGCAGGTGTCTCTTTAGGCTGAAGCATACACCCAGCATTTTGCTTGTGCTGCTGCTGCTGCTGCTACTGCTGCTGCTGCTGCTGCTTGCTGCTGCTGCAGGGTGCCTTGGGGGGACGCCCACCTACAACGGCCAGCTGTTCGATCACGCGATGCCGACGGGTGCGTTGGCTGTTTAGTGTCTCCTTTTTATTTTTGCCCTTTTGTTTGGTGTCTCCTTTCTTGTTTTATCTTTTATTTGTCCCCTTATTTTGCTGTTTTATCTTATATTATTTGCTTCTTTTTTGTTTTTATCTTTAATTTGTCTCTTTTTTGTTTTATTTTTTGTTTGTGTCTCCTTTCTTGTTGTTTTCTCGCTTATTGTCTCCTTGCCTTTTGTTGTTCTCTTATTTTTAATGTATCTTTTTGGTGTTGTCTCTAATTTTTACTGTCTCCTTTTCGTAGCAGTCTCTGTTCTTGCGTCTCCTTCTGCTTGTTGTTTGTTGCTTGTTGTGCAGTGTCTCCTTTTACACTGTAATTTGTTTTTTATTTTTGTTTTTATTTATTTTTGAGTTATTTTATTTTTGTCTGCATTTTTTGTTTGTTTTGTCTGTTGCTGCTGTTGTGTGTCTTCGTGCATGTCTGCCTCTTGCTGTATGCATTATCTTAATTTATTATTATTATTATTGTTATTATTATTATTATATCTTTTTCTTGTTTCTTCTTTCTCCAGGCTACATCTACAAACTTTGGCTTCTAGTGGGGGACCCGATGTACTTCGACAACAAAAACACCCAATGCATGCAATTTGACTTTGAATATTCCCTCAAGGTCAGCCCCAAACTCATTCTTTACTTTCTTTCTTTAGGGGCCCCCTCCCTCATTCTACGCACCAACTATAGGGGGCCCCCCAGGGGCCCCTCCTCTCCTTTGAACAAATTAGGGTTTACTAGGGCCTCAACATTTAAATTCATGGGGGCCCCTAGGGGCCCCTTCCCACCTAAGGGAGGCCTCCAGGGGCCCCTCCCCACCGAAGGGGGGCCCCTAGGGGGCCCTTCTCACCTAAGGGGGGCCCCTAAGGGGCCCCCTCCATTTGGGAGGGCCCCTAGCGGGCCCTTCCCGCCTATGGGGGGCCCCTAGGGGGCCCCCTCCATCTGGGGGGGCCCCTAGCGGGCCCTTCCCACCTTGCAAAGGGGCCTTTAGAGCGTCCCGTCCATCTAGGATGCATGCATGCATGCATGCTTGCATTGATGCATGTATGCATGCGTTTGTGGTGTATGTACAGTTTGAGTCGCGAATGACTCCATTCGAAGTGACAACGCATTCGTGGATGTGCCCCTTCGCTCGACTGCCTGGGCTGATTGTACAGCTGAAGAAAGATGCAGAGGGTGAGCAGGGGTGGGGTTGTTGTGTTTGCTGCTGCACTTTGCTGCTCCTGTTAATGGCGCTGTGCTTGCTGCTGCGCTTTGCTGTTTCTCACGTTGTTGAGCATGCTTTTTTGTTGCTGCTGCGTTGCTGCGGGGTGCGGTGAGGCTGCTGCTGCCGTTGCTGCTGCTGCTGCTGCTGCTGCTGCTGTGCCTGCTGCTGCTGCTGCAGTACTGCAGCAGATTAGACACCTTAAGGAAGGGGCACCTAAGCCCCCCTTTGTTTGCGGTTTTGTCTCTGTCTCCTTTTAACTGCAGACGCAATTATATCAGACGAATTGGGCGTCATTAAAATGCACTCCATTGACCTTAAGGACTGGTGAGCTGCGTATACACCCCAGGGTGTCTGTCTCCTTTTATTTTTTCTTGTCTTCCTGGTGCAGCTGCTCTTTTCTCTTAGCGCCTATCTTTCTTCCTGCCCTTTGTCTCTGTCTCCTGTCTCCTTTTTGCTGTCTCTTTTTGTCTCCTTTAGCTGCCTCGTGGCCTTTCTATTCGCAGCTTAAGTTAGAGAAAGAAAAAGATAAGGAATGCCCTTTGGGGTGTATATACACCGCGTCTTTCTTTTGTTTTTGTTTCTTAGGTTTGGATTTCCCCCTGATGAACTCGATGCTATGACACACAACACGAGACTCGTGCTGCAGCAACCAAGGCAAGTGTCTCCTCTGCCCCTTTTGTCTCTTTTTTGTCTCCTTTGTCTCCTTTGTCTGTCTCCTTTGTCTCCTTTGGTTGCTTTGTCTCTGTCCCCTTTGTCTCCTTTGTCTCCGTCTCCTTTGTCTGTCTCCTTTGTCTCCCTTGTCTGTCTCCTTTGTCTCCTTGTCTCTCTCTCCTTTTTCTTGTTGTCTCCGTGCCTCTGTCTCCTTTGTCTCCGTCTCCTTTGTCTCTGTCTCCTTTGTCTCCTGTGTCTCTGTCTCCTTTCTTTCTTTATCTCCTTTCCTTGTCTGTCTCTTTCTGTCTCTCCTTCGTCTGTGCCCACCCTCTTTCTTTATCTGTCTTTGTTCTCTGTTTCTTTTTTACGTTGTTGTGCGTTGCGGTTGTCTGTCTCCTTTTTGTCTCTTGTGTCTCCTTTCTCTGTCTCTCGCTCTCGCAGCAGCAGCCCCTCAGCTTGTGGGGAGTAGGTTGGGGTGTATGTGTGTGGATTAGCTGTCTCCTTTGTGTGTGTTTGTCTCTTTCTTTGCTGTAGCTCTCTGCGTGTCTTAACTTTAAAAGATAAGCTCGAGATTTCGCTACAAGTAACAGAGGCATCAAACCCTCATCATAAAATCTGCAATCCCAAGGCCTTTCCCCACAGCCCCATCACTGCGGTGTATTGCCACCTGCAGCCAGGTGTGTTTTTTGTCTCCTTTGCTGTCTCTTTTTGTCTCCTTTTGTAGGGCTGTCTTCCTCCCCTGCTGTCTCCTTTTCTATATTTGTGTATATCTCCTTGCGTCTCCCTTTATATGGTTGTGTCTCTCGCTTGTTGTCTCCTTTTGTCTTGTTGTGTCCCCTCCTTTTTGTCTCCTTTTATATATTTGTATCTGTCTCTTTCTGTCTCCTTTTGTTTGACTATATCTCTTTCCTGCTGTCTCCTTTTATATAGTTTTGTCTCTCTCATGTGTCTCCACCCATCTGCCTGCTTCTGTCTCCCTGCCCCGTTATGTGTATCTCTATTCGCTTATCTCATCAGCAGCAACTGCGGTTGCTGCTGTTGCTGCTGCTGCTGCTTCAGCTGCTGCTGCTGCTGCTGTTGGAGTCAAAAGTACCCAATAGCTCCGTAAAACATTGGGAGCAGCAGCACCAGCAGCAGAAGCAGCAACAGCAGTTGCTGCTGCAAATACAGTATATATAAAAGAAATACACACATATATATGTTATGCTCCTGGTGCTGTTGCTGCTCTTGCTGCTGTTGCTGCTGCTGCTGCTGCTGCTGCAGGGGAGTACTCGATAACATTTCGAGCGAGTTACCCCTTGGGCGGCATCCCTCCTTGCGACGGTTTCTTTGCACGAATATCCGTGCACCCAACGGCGTTGCTGCAGGAGGTGCGCTGACTGCCCTGTGAAGAAAAAGGAGACAGCAAAAGGAGACAGACACAGGAGCTACTCAGCCCCTCCTAGAGACATTGCAACTCTCCAGCTCCGCTCGTGCTGCTGCTGCTACTGCTGCTTCTGCTGCTGCTTCTGCTACTGCAGCTGCTGCTTCTGCTAATGCTTCTGCTACTGCTTCTGCTGCTTCTGTTGCTGCTGCTGCTGCTGCTGCTGGGTAGAGCAGATATTTTATGTTTGCGTGGGCGTGCGAGGAGACAGGGGACATGCGTTGCGGTGTCTGTACGCCTAAATTCAGGGTTTATCTTGTGCAAGAGATGGAGACAGTTTGCCCCCGCTGTTGTTAGGAGATTTAAATCCTTCCTCCTTTCGCCTCGCTGCCGAACCCTTCATCAATCTCGGTCAGAGACAAAAGGGACTAGGCTTTAGGGTTTAGGCTTTAGGGTTTAGGGTTTAGGGTTTAGGGTTAGACATACGTACATATATATATATATAGACCTATAGATATATACGAATATATATATATATATATATATGTAGTCTGCATGCATCTGCATAGTGTATAAATGCTTGCATGCAGAGGTTATTTTATAGGCAGCAAAGAGCTGTTGCATTTGCTGTGCTGCTGCAGGGGAGATAACAGCCGAAGAGGGAGCGAAAGACGCCTTCAAGCCCTTTGTTGTGGAGACACCCGCACCGCATGCAGACACCGCGTTTCACAAGGTGATGCATGCTTAGTGCTGCTGTTGCTGCTGGTGTTGCTGCTGCTGCTGTTGCTGCTGTTGCTGTTTCTGCTGGTGCTCTTGTCTTTTGTTTTTGATGATGCTGCTTTTGCTGTTTACGACTGGGTGCTGCTGGCGCTGTTGTTGCTTGATGTTGCTGCTGCTGCACTTGCTTTTTGCTGCTGTTGCTGCTGCTGCTGCTGCTGCTGATACTGATGAGCGAGTACTCTCCTCTTGTATGAGGAGGGCTTGTATGGGAGTGTATGCTCACTGTCTCTTTTGATTTGGTGTCTCCTTTTGCATTTACTGTCTCCGTTTGGCCTTTCGCTGTCTCCCTTTGCATTTGGTGTCTCCTCCTGCGTGTTCTGCCTCACTTTGCGTTTGCTGCTGTCTCCTTTTGCATTCGCTGTCTCCTTTTGCATTTGGTGTCTCCTTTGATGTCTGTCTGCATGCAGGTTGGGGGAGGGCATTTCGTTGTCTCTGCAGGAAGCCAGGAGGTGAGAGTGGCTGACGCTTGTCTCCTTTTTATTTATTTCTTTTTGTGTCTCCTTGTATCTGTGTCTTCTTCATCTTTCTTTGCTGTCTCCTTTTTATTTGTCTCCTTTCTATTCATCTCCTTTTCCGTCTCTTCTTATTTATTCCGTGTTTATCTGTCTCCTTTTCGTTTGTCTCCGTTTTGTTTGTCTCCTCTTTGTTTGTCTCCTTTTTATTTGGTTCCTTTTCGTCTGTCTCTTTTTTCTTCTGTCTCCTTTTAATCTGCCTCCTTTCCCTCTGTCTCCTTTTTTTCTGTCTCTTTTTCCTGTCCCCTTTTAATCTGTCTCCTTTTAATCTTTCTCCTCCTACTCTGTCTCCTTTATACTGTGTCTCCTTTGTACTCTGTCTCCCTTTAATGCGTCTCCTTTTACTCTGTCTCCTTTTTGTGCAGACATATTTGCGTTTGACTTTGCTCTCTGATTTTTCTGCTCTCGCTTTGATTGCCGTCATTAAAAAAGAAAATACCCAAAGACCTTCGCACGTGCTGGAGTTCGCTCAAACCTATCAGGTAGAGCTCATGGCTAGCTACAGCTAGCTACAGCTAGCTAGCTATAGCTAGCAACAGCTACCCTACAGCTAGATATAGCTAGCTAGCTACAGCTAGCTACAGCTACCCTACACCTACATATGGCTAGCTAGCTACAGCTAGATACAGCAAGATACAGCTAGCTATAGCTAGCTATAGCTAGCTCGCTAGGTAAAGCGAGATACAGCTAGATGCGGCTAACTATAGCTAGCTACAACGAGATGCAGCTGTATGCAAATATAATATATATATATATATATTAGATACATATTTACATATAATTGCATTTACATTCATATAAAATGTATATATATCAATGTATATTTATATTAATATTTAAAATGTTTGTTTGTTTATCTGCACTTTGTTTGTCTGCTGCTTGCAGCATTTTGTTGGGCCGCTGGAGGCGGGTCGTTACGAAGTGGAGATGTTAGCTTTGAATCCTCAGGCAGCTGCTTCGGAGACACCTGAGAAGGTGTGCATTGTCTCCTTCTTTGTCTTGTGTGTTTCGGGTTTTACTGTCTCCTTTTGTCTCCTGTACTGTCTGCTTCGGGGTGTCTCCTTCTTTTTCTTCGGGCTTTTGCTTTCCAGTGTCTCTTTTTGTCTACTCTTTTATATGCTTGCTAAGTGTCTCCTTTCTATTTTATCTTCTGGTCTTAGGTGTCTCCTTTTGTCTCTTCCCTTTTGTCTCCGTTGTCTTTTCTGTCTGTCTCTGTTCATAATATTTTTGTCTCCTTTTCACTGTCTGTCTCCCTGTGTGTGTCTGTCTCCTTTGCTCTGTCTGTCTGTCTCTGTTCTGTCTCTGTCTCCTCTTCTTGTGTGTGTTGCTGTCGTTTGCTTATCATCTCCTTTTGCACTGCAAAACAATGAAAGAGACAAAAAGCTGCTACGCCAGATACAAGCTGCTGTGCAGCAGAGAGACAGCTGCTGCTGCAGGTGCTGCAGTTGCTGCTGCTGCAGTTGTTGCTGCTGCAGCAGCAGCGGGTTGATCTGCTGTTTGTATGTGTGTAGGTGCGTGCATGCGTCTGTCTCCTTTTTTTCTTCTGTCTCCTTTTCGCTGCAGACCTGCACGCGCCTAGCTATAGACATGCGTCTAGAGAGCAGCAAGGAGACAGCTGCTGCAGCAGAGAAGCAGCACTGGATTTGCTCAAAGGAGAGACCCTTTCTTCCTACCCACATGCAGTATGTCTTGTTTGCTGTCTCTTAGCCACTTGGGGTGTATAGGCAGCTCAGGAGGACTCTGCCGCTCTGCTGCTGCTCCCCAGCAGCAAATGCATGCAACGCCATTCACACCTTTTCAACCTTCTTCTTCTCTTTTTCTGTCTCTTCCTCAACGCGTTTGTCCTTGTACACTTCATTTGTCTCCTTGCACTTGCGTGTCTGTATTTGTCTCTCGTTTTTGTGTTTCTTCGTGTGCGTTGTTCTCGCTCTGATTGTCTGTCTCCGTTTGTATCTGTTAATTACTTTCTGCTTGTCCGTCTGTCTGTCTCTCTTTATTTGTCTTTGCTTCTCTTTGCTTATTCTTCTCTCTTTTGTTTGTCTCCGTTTGTGTGCCGTTATTGTCTCTCTTTGTTTGTCTCTCTCTCTCTCTCTGTCTCTTTGTCTCTGTTTGTTTGTGTCTCCTTTTAACTGTCTCCTGCTGCTGCATTTTTGTGTCTCCTTTTAACTGTCTCCTTTTGCTGCTGCAGGGTCACCGAAGACGCGCAGTTTGTCCTCGATACCAAATACGGAGTCCCGGCTTCAGGTGCCTCTCTAATTGCTGCTGCTGTTGCTGTTGTTGCTGCTGCTGCACTTGCTGCTGCTGCTGCACTTGCTGCTGCTTCTGTTGCTTCACTTCCTGCTGCTGCTGCTACTGCAGCTACACCAAGTGTTGCTGCTCTTTCTGTTTATGCTGCTGCTGCACCTCCACCGCTGCACTTGCTGCTACTGCACCTGCTGCAGCTGCTGCGGGTACAGCGTTTTGCTGCATACAGGATTGCATGCATGCATGCATGCATGCAATCCTGTATAAACGCAACCTGTAACAAACGCATGCATGCATGCATGCATGCGTTTATTTGTGTGTGCGTTTGAAGGACATCACCTCTTGACTTTGTCTGTGCCTCGACGCTCTCTGCTGAAGCTTGCGGTGTCTGTCCCCTTGGGATCCGCTCCCCACCTTGTGGTGTATCCGGAGGGGCAGCCTTCTACTATTTTAGCTGAAGCATACGGAGATCTCTTTATGGGTGTGTCTTGCTTGCTGCTTGTTGTCTCTGTTTTGTTTGTGTAGCTTTTTATTCTCTCCTTCTTCATACACATTTTGGCTCTTCTGTCTCCTTGTGCGCTCTCTCTCGTGTCTTTTATATTTTGTCTCTTCGTTCTTTATATATATATATATATATATATATATTATATTGCTTCTTGTTTGTTGTGTCTTGGTGTTGTGTCTTGTCTTTTATTTTCACTATGCCTTGTCTTGCCGTGTCTTGTCTTGTTGTTTATCTTCTTCTTCTTTTCTTGCTTTGTCGTGTCTGTCGTGTCTTTGCTGCTGTCTTTATTACTGTCTTTGTTGCTGTCTTGTCTTTGCTGCTTCTTGTCTTTGTTGTTTTATTGTGTCTTGTATAGTATTTGTCCTGCACATTATCTCCTCTTTACTCTCCCCCCTTTATTTGTTTATTTATTATCATCATCTATTCATAAATTATTTATTTAATTATTATTTATTTATTTATTTATTTATTTATTTATTTATTTATTTATTTATTTTTGTTTATAGAGGCTGACTCGGCTGGGCGCTACGTCATTCGATTTACCTTCACTCCTCCTGGGGCTTCGTCTGTCTCCTGTCCCCACGCACATTTCCATTTCGTTGCAGCTCCTGTCTCTCTTGTCCCTGTCTGCCCTTGGGGTTCGTCTAGGGTTTAGGGTTTGGGGTTTAGGGTTTAGGGTTTAGGGTTTAGGGTTTGGTCTTGGGGGGCTAGGGTTAAGGATCTGGGCTCAATGGTTTACGGTTTACGGTTTAGGGTTTAGGGTTTAGGTCTTAGGGATTCTGGTTAAAGACTTGGCCTTTAGGGTTTACAGTTTAGGGGTTAGGGTTTAGGGTTTAGGGTTTAGGGTGTTGTGTACAGAGTAGGTAGCGGCTTATTTGCTTGGGGTGTCTGTGCATCTGCTGTGCTGCGCTGCTGCTGCAGCACGGGGACAGCAGCAGCTGTCTCCGCAGCAGCTACGTGAGGCGGCCCTCGGAGCCTTCAACGCCACCTTTGATGCCTCTATGTTTCTCCCCAAGTAAGAAAGAAAGACAAAAGGAGACACAAGTCTAGACAAAGAGATAAAAGGAGACAGAAATATAGAAAGGAGACAGAGAGAGAGAGAGACAAATATAGACAAAGCGACAAAAGGAGACAGAAATGTAGAAAGGAGACAGATAGAGGCACGAGCATAAAATGCAGACAAAAGGAGATAAGAGGCGGCACAAATATATAGAAAGGAGATTAAAGGAGACACAAATATAGTAGGGATACAAAAGGAGACAGAGGGGAAAGGAGACAGAAGGAGACAGAACACAGAGACAGACATAAATATACAGAGGACAGCAGGCAAGGAAAAAGAAGCAAACCGCAACACAAAGAGGAGACAGAAGAAGACAAAAACAGAGGAGGGGACACCAACAGAAAGAGGAGACAGAAGGAGATAGGAGGAAACTGCAGGAGACGCCTGTAACAGGGGGACAGAGACAGGAGGAGAGACACCTGATACACACCAGAGGAGTTAGAGACAGCAGCGCCAGATGAAGGGATAAAAGGAGACAGACAGACAGACGCAGCAGTGGGGCTGTTGAGGCTGGGGTGTGCGTACAGCTCGTGCATGCATGCAATTTGTACGTGTGGGGTTGCAGGCAGTTGGGGTCCGACGGCGTTGAGGTGTCTCGACCCCACGACATTTGGCTGTCTCCTTCGCTGCACCCTGAGTTCCCCTTCACAGCTCCAGGGCCCAGCAGCAGGTCAGAAGGAGACACTATTAATATCCCTATTTGGGTGTTTTTGTCTCTTATTCTGTCTCCTTATGTCTCCTCCTCTGTCTCCTTTTGTCTCCTCCACTGTCTCCTTTTGTCTCCCTCTCCTTCTCCTCAGTCTCTGTCTATGAACTTCTTTTTTTGTCTGTCTTCTGTCTGTTTGTCGCTCGTTTTGCTTTTCTGTCTCCTTGCACAGCCCTGCCAAGCACTGCTGCAGCGGTGCTGCAGCAGCAGCTGCGGCAGTTGCTGCTGTTGCTCCATTTGCTGTTGCTGCTGCTGCTGCTGCTGTTTGCTGCAGCCTAAGGGTGGAGGTGGCGCTGCAGCCGGCGTGGCTGCCGCTGCGGTTGGAGTTACACCGCAAAGAGGAAGCGGGTTTAAGGCGAGCCCCATTGTGAGTCTCCTCCTGTCTCCTTTTGACTATCTCTTTTAATGCATGCATGCATGCATGCAATGCATGCATGCATTAAAAGAGATAGTCAAGCATAAAGATGGGCAAAGAGAGACAGAAGTGCAAAGAGACAAGGAGACAGACGGGGAGACGCATGCACGCATGCATAGCGCATGCAAACCTGCTGCACCCCTCCTTGCCGCTGCAGTATGCATGCAGTTGTATGCACGTTTGAGATGTGCTGCTGGCAGCAGCATGCATGCGTTGTACAGTGTCTTGGGGCTGGCCGCTTGCATGCGTTTTGGGTGTCTCTGCAGCGCTGTGTCTGAATATACGGAGGGGCGGATTTTGCTGCTGTCTCGTGACCTCCCTGGTGGGGACTACGTGCTGAAGTTTGTTATATACGATCAGGTAAAGGGTTTAGGGTTTAGGGTTTAGGGTTTAGGGGTTGCATGTTGAAGCTTTTGTATACCACCAGTTAGAAATCACTCCCACTGGGGTTTAGAGTGGAGGGTTTAAGAAATAGGGTTTAGCGTTTCGAGGTAGCCGTGAGGGATTAGGGTTTAGGGTTTAGGAATAAGGGTTTAGGGTTTAGGGTTAGAACTGTGTTTTGAGGTTTCTGCAGGCACAGCCGGAAACCGAGCGCCTCTGCGCCCACGCGACGATCAACGCTGAGGTGGGGCCCTGCCTATTGCCATGCATGCATTGCTGCATGCATGCATGCATGCATTAAAGTTTTATATACATTTTAGGGTTTAGGGTTTATGGTTTAGGGCCGGGTCGTGCGCATCGCCAACTGCATATTAAACATGCATTCTCGCATGCATTCTTTTCACTTCATGCACGCATGCATGCATGTACATTGTGCATGCATGCATGCATGTAAATTTTGATAGTGGCTTTGCATGCATGCAGCTAGGGGAGAATAACTCAGCGCTGTTAAATGCTGTGCGAGCGGAGTTGCTGGAGGTGCCCGACTTGCTGCCCATAGAAATGCCCCCCAAGTCTCTTAATAACAGGTTCGTCTCCTCTTGCATGCATTGCTGCATGCATTGTTCTATGCATGCATGCAAGCATGCATTGCTCTATGCATGCATGGAGTGTATGTATGTATGCATGCATGCATGCATGCATGCATGTGGTGGAGATGTGAGTGTTTGGGGCTGCAGGGGATGGCTGGCGGACCCGGACGTGCCGATCTTCGCGACTTCTGTGTTTTCGTTTCACGGCGATCAGCAGCAGCAGCAGCAGCAGCACCACCAAGACAAGCAGCTTGTTGCTGCTGGTGGGGTTGCACGGACGAGTTTAATTGTCTCCAAGCCGACTGTCTTCCGCGTTGCTGCTGAACCCGCTCTTGCCTCTGATGCTCAGCTGAAGATACGCGTCTTCGCATCTCCCAGCAGCAGCAGCAGCAGCAAGGAGCTGGTGTCTGCGCCTTTGCCGGCTACGGGTGCAATAGCAGAAGCAAAAGAAAACAATCTCTTCACGCTGCTGCAGCCAGGCTCTTATCTCGTTGCCTTTGAGGGGTCGGAGCCTTTCCTCACGACTATTGGTGGGCCTAGATCCAGGGTTTAGGGTTTAGGGTTTAGGGTTAAGGGCTTAGGGTTTAGGGTGTTAGGGTGGACAGGATTGACGAGGGCGGCGAGCTGTGGCTTGCAGTGTTGGTGAGGCCCTAGGGTTAAGGGTTTAGGGTTTAGGGTTTAGGGTGTGCTGTCTGTTTGTACAGCTGGTTTTTGTATCTGTGTTTGTGTGCATGCATGCATGCGTCTGCAGGATTGATGTCTATAGATGCACTGCATGCGGCTTTGCCTAGGGTAGAGGGGACTGGTTCCTCTGGGGCTGCATGCAGCCGCAGTCTCCCTCGGGTGTCTATCCCTTCTCCTCTTCCTTCTTCTTTTGAAAGCGAGGAGTTTGTCTTCAGTGTAGATGTTGCAGCGCTGGAGGAGACAGTGAGGCGCCCTTTTACTGTCTCCCTCTCCCTGCTATGTTCTGCTGTTTTGCTGCTGCAGCGCAGCAGCAGCAGCAACACCAGCAGCAGCAGCACCAGCAGCAGCAACGCAAGCAGCAGCAACACCAGCAGCAGCAACACCAGCGGCAGCAACACCAGCAGCAGCAGTAGAAGCAGGCTGCATTGGAGGGTAGAAAGCAGAGCCGTCTTGTCTGCTGTCTGCTTGCAAGAGAGGAGGAGACAGATTAAATCTCTTTGTGCTGCTGTTTCTTGTGTCTCTGCTGTCTCTGCTGTCTCCGTGCTGCAGGGAGAATTGCTTGCAGTGCCGCTGCAGCTGGCTGTCCCCTCTGTGGTGTATGCGGAGGTCGGGTCTAACTTCGTTGTAGATTTCGTGAGGTATGTCTTTTATATTTTATTTAAATCTCTTCTTATTGCAGTAGTTAATAAATAATGTTAATAAACACATACTCAAACAAATGCAGCACTCTCACCCTGAGAAGGAGACACAGACGCACAAATAGGGAGAGACAGACAGAAGAAGAGAGACAAAAAGAAAGAGAGACAGATAGAGAGACAGAGAGACAGAGACAGCGGGGATTTATCTGTTATCTGTCTGCAACATGTAGCAATGCTGCTGCTGTTGCTGCTGCTGCTGCTGCTGCGTGTGCTTCTCGATTTGGTTTGTGTGCGAGGGGTGTGGTCTGGGTGTTGTCGTGCTGAGGAGACATTTATTTCTTTTGTCTGTCTCCCTTCGCTGTCTCTGCTGCATGCAGAGTCGGCATTGAAGTCGCGGAGGGACTATGGCTAGGTGAACAGAGGGGGCAGCAAAACTCTTTGAAGCTGCTGCTAGGAGCTGGGCAGCATATGCTGCGCGTTCGCCTAGAGACAGACACAAACACCAGCAGCAGCAGCAGCAGCAGCAGCAGCAGCGGAAATCGCTACCAAAATGCTCTCCGAGACAAACTACTCGCGGATGCGCAGGTCGCATACACCAGCCGCCCTTATCTCCTAGCTAACCAACAGCTAGCTAGCTAGCTGGCTAGCAGCTAGCTAACCGGCAGCAAGCTAGCTAGCTAGCTTGCAGCTGGATAGCCAGCTAGCTGGGTAGCAGTTACCGTTTGTGTGTATGATGTTTATCTTTTTTCTTCGTTTATCTTTACTGTCTTATCCTTGGTGCATAACCTAAATTTTATTCGTTTAGGGTTTAGAATTTAGGGTTTAGGGTTTAGGGTTTGTGTTTTTTGTTTGGGTTTTTGTCTGCAGGCTTCTCGGTGTTTGCAGTTTTCTTTGCATCTCTCTGTACACTCCGTGGCGGGTGAGGGGTCTCCCCTAAACCCTTTAGAAGAATGTTCTGCTTTTGGGGCTTTGCCTCTGCCTACTGACCTCAACACTGTGAGCGGAAGTGGTTCTCTTGGTAAGTCCTTAAGCGGCGGTTTAGGGTTTAGGGTTTTGGGGTGTATAAGCACCTTTTTAAGGGTTTGGGGTTTACGGTTTATGGCTCAGAGTTTTCGGGGTGTATGCGCACCTCCTTTGGATTGAGGGTTGAGGGTTTAGGGATTTGGGGTGTATACGCACCTCCCTCAGTTTTTAGGGTTTAGGATTCAGGGTTTGGGGTTTAGGGTTTAGGGTTTTGGGGTGTATGCGCACCTCCTTTAGGGGGCCCACTGGATAGCGAAGGGCGCGTCGTCATTCGAACGAAGGGACTTCTGCACAGCGGATTGGCGTCTAAACACCGCATTGCAATCCAGACAAAAGGTGTGCAAGAAACCCTAAACCCTAAACCCTAAACCCTAACAACCCCAAACCGTAAACCCTCGGCCGGTCTTTGCTGCCGCATGCATGCAGGCGAGGAGCTGCTCTTGAAGGTTGGCCTCTTCATAGAAGACCAGACGCGCAGCATCACTATGGCGGTGCGTCTAACCCTAAACCCTAAGCCCCAAACCCTAAACCCCAAACCCTAAACCCCAAACCCTAAACCCTAAACCCTGAGCGTGCGCTGCTGCTCTCCAGTTGCAAGACGGCGCTTCTCAAGACGTTGAGGCGGTGCACGACTGGACAGTAGGGGGAGGCCACCGCGAACGCATATACAGACTCAGGCCTTCGGGTAAGCTCCATAGGGTTTAGGGTTTAGGGTTTAGGGTTTAGGGTTTAACTCAACATGTTGGGGGCTAGGGGTAGGGTTTGGAGATACGGAAGGGGACGGCGTTGCACTCTGTAGGCCCCGAGGTTATGGCTGGGCTCCCAGAGATTTAGGGTTTAGGGTTTAGGGTTTGGGGTTTGGTGCTCGTTGTGCTGCAGCCGACGACTCCGCCTTTCATTTAGTGCTGTCTGGAGACGGAGACAGTTGTCTCCTTTTTGATTTGTTTATTCAAACACTTCCCTACCGCGAGTTGGATCAGGTGCGTCTCTCGTCCTTCAGGTGTACGTACACCCGAACCTCTTCAGGTGTGCATGCAGCTGAACCCTGGTTGAGGTGTATGTACACCTGAACCACTTCAAGTGTACATACACCTGAGCCCCTTTCAGGTGTATCATATGCACCTTTGTATTGCAGACAGTGTTTTGGTTTTGTGTATGGCTGCTGTTGGGAGCAGCAAAAGGAAGTTTTGGTTGATTAGTTTTTCTTCTACTTCTTAAGCTGCATGCAAGTTGTTCGTGTGTGTGCATGCAGATGAGCAGCTGTACCGGCTTGGGGCTGCCAGCTGTCTCTGCATCGGAGTTCTTTAAAGCTGCTGCAGTACAAGCAGCAGCAGCTTTAGTGTCTCCGCGGAGACACAAAGAAGAAGGCATGCAGCAGCAAGTTGTTGCTGCACTGCAGCCGCTGCAGCAGCAGCAAGAGGGGTTTCTAAAGACAATTGAATTTGATGTCTCCGAGGTGGGCATGCATGCATGCATGCATGCATGCATACATACAATTATAAATTCTTCTGTCTCCGTACTGCCATTTGCTTTACTCGTGCCGTTTCTTCTGTCTCCTTTGCTGCTCGCAGTGTCTCTTCAACTGTCTCCAGCTCCCCCTCTCTTCTTTTTCTGTCTCCTTTGGCTTTATTGTTCTGCATTTGCGTCGTTCTATAGCTGCTTTTTACCTCGATTTGCGGTGTACACACAGCATGCTATAATTATTATTAATAAATAACGCTTGAATTACGTTAGTTTTATTGCTGCATATATAATATTTGTGCTCATATATATGTGTGTCTATGTACTTATTTTATTTTTACTTATTTAGTTGTTAATTGTTAATTTATTAATTAATTTATATATCATACATATTTATTTTTATTCTTTTTGTTTATTTGATGAGGCGAAATCCGGGTGTCGCTGTTTTAATTAGTTTTTTTGTCTGTACTTTTCTTTTAAACATTTTATTTGTTTTGCCTCTATATTTTTTTATATATCGATTTATTTATTTTCTTTTGGTTTATTTGCTGTACTCGTTCATTAAAACCTTAATTAATTAAATTGTTAATTAATTAATTAATTAGTTAATTTATTTATTTATTTATTTATTGTTCAGCCGTCGTTCGTAATGGCGGAGGTTGGGTATAATTTCTTCGGTTCGCACGTTGAGATGGACATCGTCACTGCAGATTCGGTTTGTCTTTTTATTGAATTGATTAAAGATAATTAAATTAAAATATAAATAAAATATAATAAATATTATGTTCTTAAGTATAAATGCTTTTATTATATAATACAAGTATGGGGTTCGCCATTTAAAGAAAAAGAAACAAACAAATAAACAACAACTATATGAAACAAGCAGAAAAAATATGTATTTTAATTAAAAAGGAGACAATCAAATGCTGTGTCTCTTTGCCTTGATGGTATTTTGCTGCATCTGTCTCTATGCCCGCGACTAGCTATCTTCTAGCGCTGTTGTATATTCATTTGCTGCTGCTGCTTCTGTTTGTTTTGCTGCTGCTGCTGCAGCAACCCCAAACTGTTGCTGTTGGGGAGTTCGACTTCCTGCATGCAGCAGACCACCCTGTAAACGCGCGCCAGTGGATTGCAACGCACCTCGACCCGTACGACCACTTAGGGTTTAGGGTTTAGGGTTTAGGGTGAAGGGTGCAGGGTTTGGGTGCCTGGATTTAGGGTTTAGGGTTTAGGGTTGATTGACTGATATATTGGGTTTAGGGTTAAGGGTTTAGGGTTTACTGGTTCTGCCCCAGGGTTTTGTGGAAAGGGTTTAGGGTATAGGGTGATTTGGTTCTACTGTGGGGTTCAGGGTTAGGGTTAATTGATTCGCCTCTAGGGTTTAGGGTTTAGGGTTTAGGGTTTGCGTTGTTGCTTTTATAGGGGCCGATTTGTGCTGCGCGTTGCGGACGATCACTTCCCTCTTCAGTTTGCAAACCACCGCGAGCGATGTTTCCCTTTTCAGTTTTTCTTCCACATGCATGCGCTCAGCAACAAAACACTCAAAGTCAGACAGCCCCACGCTCTCTACACCCTCATGCATGCATCCCCGCTGCAGCTGTGCATGCATGCATTTGTATAAATGCATGCATGCATGCATTGGGGCTTTCGATAAAGGGGTTTTTGTGTGTCTTTTTCGTTGAAAGGGCGGAAACCGCCGCAGAGAAATATTCGTTGGGGTCTGGGTGTCTGGTTCCTGCCAACCAAGGGTTTAGGGTTTAGGGTTTAGGGTTTAGGGTTTGTGTTTTATGTGTTTGTGCTGCAGCCTTCTGTTGTGGCGCTACACCCCGACCCTAGCGTCCCTATAAAGGCTGGGCAGGACCTTCTGGTGTGTATTGTCTCCTTGTCTGTCTCTGTTTCTTTTTTATTTTTATTTTGTTGTTTTGTATATAATGATACCTTTCTTCATCTTGTCTCTCTGTCGCTTGGTTTTCTTTGTCTTGTTTGTTTGTCTCTCCTTCTTCTGTCTCTTCTGTCTCTTCTCTGTCTATATGCTATGCAGGCCTAACTTCTAGGAGGTATATTGTTAATGCTGTTTTGTGCATCTGTATCTACGTTTGCTTCGTTGTGTGCGCGTCGGTGTCCATGCATTCAGATATGCTTACTGCGTGTGTCTGTCTCTCCGTGCATGCGTTCATGCATGCGTGCGTGCATGTATGATTCGTTTGCATCTCTGTCTCTCTGTGTGTATGTGCATGTGCGCATGCATGCATGCATGCATGCATGCATTATTCATTTGCATACCTTTGTCTGTGTGTTTCTGTGTGTGTGTGTGTATGCATGCAGTTGCTGCTGCGTTTGTCTGAACCAGCTGTAATGAAGGAAGGGTCTCTGGAGGCGAAGGGGGCTGTGCACTTGCGTGGTGCTTCTGGGGTGTACGTATACCCTGCAGCTCAGGTAAACTTAGATGCTGCAGATGGCACCAGCAGCAGCAGCAGCAGCGGTGACAGCGGAGTTGTTTGGTCTTTCTTCTTCCCAGCCAGCGCTCTACGCTCCTTGGGGCCCTCAGCAACTCTGCACATCGACATGCAGGCAGGCAGTGGGGCTTCCTTCTCCTTTGAGTGGCTTACCACACGCACCCCGCAGCAGCAGCAGCAGCAGCAGCAAGTAGTGCTGCAAATAGAAGGAGAGAATGAAGCGCAAAGGCTCTCTCCCTGGAAGGGGGGGGCCCTGCCAGCCCCGCCGCCGCTGACTCCTCGGCAGCAGCAGCAGCAGCAACAGCAGCAGCAGCAGCAGCAGGTAGGCGGCAGCACTCATGAAGAGCAGTTGGAAGGAGTTGGTCTTGTTAAGCCGGAGATGGGTGGCATCATCGATCCATACAACAGGTAGGTTTGGGGACTGTCTCCTTTTTCAGTCTGTCTCCTCTCTTGCTGCTAGCTGCAGCAGCAGAAGCTGCGCTTTTACTTTTCTTTTCCTGCCTGCTGCACTATCTGTCTGTCTCCGTTTGTCTCTCTCCCTCTCTCTCTCTCTTTGCTTCTTTTTATATTTGTATGTCTCTTTTTGTCTTGTGGCTGATCGCGAGTCTTCATCTCGTTGCTGCTGCTGCATTTAATTGTCCCTTCTTGCCCTCTCCCCCCGTTGCGGCGTCGCACTTTCATTCCTATTGCTGCTGCTGCTGCTGCTGCTGCTGCTGCTGTTGCTGCAGGGCCCAGACGGAGCCCGGCTCTGTCCGCCCTATCTCCTTAGTCCCCCCGAAAGTGCCGCAGGAGGAGCTGCTGCAAAAAGGAGACCCTGATGAGCAGCAGCAGCACCACCACCATCACCACCACGAAGAGCAGCAGCAGCACCACGAGCAGCAGCAGCACCACGAGCAGCAGCAGCAACACCACGAGCAACAGCATCAGCAGCAAGAAGAAGAGACACCCCACCACGCGGAGTTAAGCTTCTCTCCTCATGTAGAAGAAAGCGAAGTGGCGGTGGAGTGCCCACAAGGAAAAATTTGGGATGAGGAGACAGAGAGATGCATCGTTGAAGAGTGCGTCATTTCTGTCTCCTTCTGTCTCAGTCTGTCTCCGTTTGACTCTTTATATGTCTCCTTTTGTCTCGTTCTCGGCCTCCTTGTGTCTCCCTTTCTGTCTCCTTGTGACTCTTTATCTGTCTCCCTTTGTCTCTTTCTCGGCCTCCTTGTGCCTCCCTTTCTGTCTCCTTTTGTCTCTTAATCTCTCTCCGTTTGTCTCTCTCTCTCTCCCTGCCTCCTTTTGTCCCCTTATCTGTCTCCTTTTGTCGCTTTATATGTCTCCTTTTGACTCTTTATCTGTCTCCTTTTGTCTCCCTTTCTGTCTCCTTTTGTCCCATTGTCTGTCTCCTTTTGTCTCCCGCTTTGTCTCCTTTTGTCTCCTGCTTTGTCTCCTTTTGTCCAGTTGTCTGTTTCCCTTTGTCTCTGTGTCTGTCTCCTCTTGTCTCTCTGTCTGTCTCCCTTGCTCTTTTTGTGTGTCCCCTTTTGATTGCCTGTCTCTTCTGTCTATTTACCCCTCTTTTCGTCTCTCTTCTCTGTCTGTCTGTCTCCTTTTGCCTCTCCGTTTGGTTCTCTTTCTTCTTCCTCATGAAACGCATCTTTGCTGCTGCTTCCGCTGCTGCTGCTGCTGTTGTTGCTGCTACAGAAGCGAGAGCTCAAGCCTGTGGTTGCTGTTTTTAATTTCGGTGTTAGCTGTCGGGGGTTTGTGGTGTGTCTCCCGCCTCATCATGAGGCGGCACGGATCCGCAAAACGCAGACAGGTAAGGGTTTAGGGTTTAGGGTTTAGGGTTTATGGGGGTTTAAGTGTTTGAAAGAAGGGATTCACGGCTAGCCCTCTCGCTACGCCGAGCAGTACCACACACCAGCCCCAAAACAGATGCATCAACCATGCATGCATGGATGCATGCATCTCGGTGCCGTGGGTAGGTAGGTAGGCAGTAGATACATGCATGCATGCATGCATGCATGCATGCATGCATTTGTGTGGTTGCTTGTGCATGCGTTTGCAGCGCGATACGGAGTTCGGGCGCTTCGATTTGTTGCAGATGGACGACCGCCACCACTCCGACTTCGATGACGATGTCTAATTTGCATGCATGCATGCATGCATCCGTGCACGCATGCAAGTATGCATGCATCCTTGCATGCATGCATGCATGCATGCATATATACCTGCATGCATGCGTGCATGCATGCGTTGGTATCGACGGTTTTGGGGCTGTGTTGTTGTTTTTTCTCGCGTTGTGTGGTATTTTTCTGGAGTGGCATTAGCAGCTGCCTGTCTCCTACTGTCCCCTGTTTCTTTTTTATATTAGTTGTCTCTTTTTAATTATATATTTACGTGTATATGTTGTTGGTTCTTTATAAAGGAGGAGAGAGACGCACAATCTTATACGGTTTTGCCTGTCTCCTCCTGTCTCTGGATATGGAGGCAACGAGACACCGCGAGGGTCTCCTTATATTTCTTTATATATATGTCCCCTGTCTTTAATTTTATTAGTTGTCTCTTCTTTGCCTCTGTGCCGCCTTGTTTCTCTCGCCTAGTTGTCTAATCTCTTTGTCTCTGCTTACTGTGTCTCTGCCTATATAGCCCCTTTGCTGCTGTCTGTCTCTTTATTCCAATATATATTGTATATGATTCGTTTTCGCACTTTTTTGTCTCTCTATTTTACACCCTTTGCTGCTGTCTCCTTTGTCTCCTCCCCTCTACTGCACTCAACGCCGCACCTCGCCTGAGGCGCTGCTGCCCGAGCCCCAGGGCAGCGCAGCCAGTCATCAGGAGAGGGTTTAGGGCTGGTTCAAGGGTTTTAGGGTTTAGGGTTTACGGGGACTCGCGGGGTGTACAGCGAGCTGCCTGTGCACCTTAGTCCTTTTCTATCGACCATTTTTGGCTTCTTTATGAACAAATGGTAATATATATACATTCGCAAATCAACTCCATCATTTCATCAAGTCCGCATGCATGCATGCATGCATGCGTGCATGCATACATGCATGCACGCAGTGCATGCACAGGGCCGCAACCGCCGCGGGCAGTACGTACACCCGAACTACGAACCCCCTGCTGGGGCTGCATGCACCGCAAAGACAAAAAAAACGAATAGGAAGAGGAGTGGCTGCTTGCTGCTGCATCCATTTAGGGCTGGTAGCCCCGAATAGATAAACGAGTATCTGTTCTGTGTGCATGCCGCGCCACATCCCCTCGAACTACAAGCCCCAAGCATGCACGCGTGCATGCATGCATGCATGCATGCATGCATGGTTAGGGTCTGTAGTTAAGGACACTCCAGGGAGTTGTTGGCATCTTCTCGTAGGCGGGCACCGCCTCGGACGCCTCCAAATTTTGCGCTGAAGGGAAGAGAAGACAAGCAACACCAAAAGCAAACGCGCGAATGCATGCATGCATACGCGCATGCATGCATGCATGCAGCCCCTGGGGGGCGTGTGGGGTCTACGGCGGACTGTCTGCTATTGCCATCTAAATGGAAGACAGCTCTCCCAGCAGCACTCCTTCCATACTAACAACAGCCAGATAACTAGCTAGCTATCTGGCTAGCTAGCTTACCCTCTAAGAAGTCCTGCACCGTCTCCCTAAGGGCCTGCACATTGCCCATGTTAAACCAGCTGTCCAGTGTCGCACGAGAAATGCGGGCCTGCAGCAGCACTTCAGCAGCAACATATTCGAAAAGATAATGCAGCAGCACAGCGGCAGCAGCAGACAGTAGCAGGAACAGCAGCAACAGAAACAGAAGCACCCAGAGGCAGCAACAGACGCAGCATCAAAAGCAGCAGCAGCAGCGCTAACTGCAGCAGCAGCAGCAGCAGCGCTGCTGCTGCAGCAGCAGCAGCAGCGTTAACGACAGCAGCATTTGCCCTGACATCAGCAGGAACAACAGCAGCACTAGAGCAGTATCAGCAGCAAATACAGCAACCCGAGCAGCAGCAGCATCAGGAGTAGCAGCAGCAGCAGCCGCCGCAGCATCAGGTTTAGCAGCAGCGTCAGCAGCAATGTGCCAGGTAGTACCCTTCTGACTGCTTGAAAAGCAAGACACTGATGCAGCGCTAGGTCTCTCCCCACAGCAGGATCCACATCAAAGCGAAGAAGTTGCTGGCAACCCCCAGCTTTGTATCCGTGGCTGCACCTCACACAAAAGCCCCAAACTGCATGCATGCATGCGGCACAAGCTGCAGGGGTCGTCTAACTACGTAGTGCCCATGCATGCATGCGTGCGTGCAGATGCATGCATGCATGCATGCAGATGCTTGTATGTCCCTACTCTTTAAATTCCAGAGCCACGACGAGCGTCTTCGGTCCCGTCGATGGCCGCACCTAAAATGCAAAGTCAAACAAAACACAAACAAACACAAGCTAGGCATGCATGCAGATCGTTCATGCATGTAGCTAGGGCATGCAGGCAGATAGTGCATGCGTGCAGGTGTTGCATGCAAGCATTCCCTGCGTGCATGCAGACAATGCATGCATTCAGACAATGCATGCATGCAGACAATGCATGCATGCATGCATGCTTAACGTACAGAGACCAAGTCGAGTGTTCGTTCAATGGTGGCGAAGTCTGCGTTTGTGGGTTCTTTTATGTGGCTGGGCCGAATGCATCCGTCTTTGTCAGTTGTTATAAACTCCTTTAAATAACGCAACTCCAGCACGCCTGCATGCAGACAGACAAAGGTACAAAGCCCCAAACACAGCCGCGCATGCAGACATACACACACACACACAACCGCACAAGGGAGCCCCCTCGAGACTGCAGTCCACGGGAGAGTGCACACTGCATGCATGCATGCTGGCGTCTCTGCATACATGCATGCATGCATGTGGATGCGTCTGCATGCATGAATGCATGCATGTGAATGCGTCTGCATGCATGCATGCATGCAGCAGAAATAGACGCACTTCCATCTACGATGAGGGTAGCGGGAATTTTGTGTTTGGCCTTCGCGGCCTTCACAGGGTCTTGTTCGAGAGGAACTGCGCGATCAGCCTGTGTGCAGCAGCAAAACGCCCTCACGCAGCCCCAAGCATGCATGCATGCATGCATGCTTGCGTGCTTTCGCATGCAGCCCCGAATATGCGCATGCGCCATACAAAGAACCCAGCCTTCGCTCATTTCCTCAATAGGAGAGAGCGTAGTGCTTGCAGTTAATGCAACGTTAGAGAGGGAGGAGAGACAAACAGACATCGCGAGAGAGACAGGGACACAGACACAGAGAGAGAGAGAGAGACAAAAAGGCACAGGGAGAGACAGACGGAGACAGAGAGACGCGGGAAGGCCAGCGCATTACACAGAAAAATATATACGGGCCACTGCTACAGCATGAAGATACAGATCCGTTGTATAAAGCTGTTATAATATGTCTAGGGCAGCAACTCTCGATGCATGTATGCATGGATGCATGCATGCATTCATGCAAGCTGGGCTGCCTGTTTGTACACCCCAAGCGTGCGTGTGGGGCATTAAGTACGGACGGAATCAAGGACATCTCTGAGCTTGACAGCGCAGCTGAAGCCTCCTCTGGCGAGGGCTTTAAGAATAAGAAGAGCTGTCTCCTCTGCTAGCAGCACGGGGCCAGCAATGCAAGTAGAGACAACAGGGACATAAACCTTAGGGGGCTCCGTCCTGATGTTGCGGGGGCCCCCTACGTGCTGATCGTACGCCCCATCTTCAGCAGCACCAAATTGCGTTCTCGCCAGCTGCCCAAAACAACCGCACTCTTACACCTAGGGTTTAGGGTTTAGGGTTTAGGGTTTAGGGTTTACAGGGTTGTGCGGGAGGGTTTAGGGTTTGGGGGACTGCTACGCTGCTTGTTGTGCAGGCTGCTGCCCTGTCTGTCTAGCGAAAGAAACACAAGTTCTGAGGATATGTTATGAAGGCCTAGGGTTTGCTTGTTGGGGTTTAGGGTTTAGGGTTTACTTGATCCTCGACGCGTCTGTGTGCCTTTACGCAAATGTACTTCCCTAGGAGGTCCGGTGGTATTGTCAGTGGGGTGTCGCTCAGCCCCTCAGCAAGAGGTGCAATGCTAAAGAGAGTTGTCTCCCCAACAGACAGACTCTCCACCCTGAACAGCCCCAAACGCATGCATCCCTGCGCATGCCCTTGCATGCATGCATGCAATAGCACTTTCTACTCTCCTACTTCACTCTCAGCCACACGCCTGGCTATCGGGCGCATGCATACATATAACTTGTGTGGAGATGGATATATAGATATACCTATATAGATGTAGATATTGAGATACATGCAGATATAGATATTCATATAGATATATACAGATATAGCAACAGATATAGATAATCATACAGGCACATAGATAAGTAATATAGGTATAGATTTAGACATGAATACAGATACACATATATAAGTGTGCATACACATATATATAGATATGGATATAGATCTACAGATATATAGATGTATACGCAGATATAGATATAGATAGGTATAGATATCCATAATCATATGTATATATATAATATATACGTAATATATATATATATATATGTATATATCTTTCTTCTATTTTTATGTTAACTCACCATTCTATTCTGTTTACAGGGAATTCTCTTTGGTAGGGAGAGTCATCGCGGAAGTGCAGAGTGTCTCCAACAGCACATTCGCCTGCATGCATACAAAAATGCATGCATGCAATAGTGCATGCAAAAGCGCATGCATGCAGTAGTGCATGCAAAAATCCATGCATGCAATAGTACATGCAAAAATGCATGCATGCAATGGTGCATGCAATAGTTCATGCAATAGTGCATGCAACAGTGCATGCAAAAATGCATGCATGTAATAGTGGGTACATCCAACGTGCTATCTCTTTCGGTGTATCCTCAAGTGCTGTCTCCTGGGGTGTCTCCTTAAATGTTATCTCTTTGAGTGTCTCCTTAAGTGTTATCTCTTTCAGTGTCTGCTCAGCTGCTGTCTCCTCCATTGTTATCTCCTTCAGTGCCCCCTCAAGTGGTGTCTCCTTCAGTGTCTCCTTTTCTGTCTTACCCTCTATTGCAACGGGATGAGCGATGGGCTGCGTAACGTTTGTTTGTTGTGGGGCTGTAACAACATCTTTATGATAAACACCTCTGTCTTCTTCTTCTTCTTCTTCTGACTCTGTTGCTGCTTCTTCTTCTATCTCCGGCAGCTGCATTACCTGCAGCTCCAGAGGCTCTGCTGCCTGAGCAGCAGCAACAGCAGCAGCAGCAACAGCAGCAACAGCATACGTAGGAATAACCACAGATAACCAAGGAAGTAAAGGAGACACCTAAACCACTAACAAACGTAATACACGAGAATTCGCCTATCTCCTTTGTCTCCTAGCTGTCTCTCTCTAAACAAGCCCCTACATAATTTTCTCTCGCTGCTACGGTGTCTCCTTTACTATGTTTGCTGCTCTTCATCAGCAAACAACAACACTAACATCTGTAACTTCTTCTGTCTCCATCTCGAATGCTGCATTCGTCTCCGTCTCTCTCTGTCTCTGCTTTTCTACCCTCTATTTCTATCTGCCTCTATATTTTTATTTCTATCTGTCTCTACATTTATATTTATATCTGTCTCTAGATTTATATTGTTAGGTGTCTCTATATTTTAACTGTCTCCGTTTACTCACCGCCTTTTTCTTTTCTTTGAGTTTTGCAGCCAAGTCAAAGATCCCTTCAAGTGTCTCTTCTTCTTTCTCTTTGGCTTTCTCTTCTCGAATAGGCTTTATATGATTAACTGCTTCAGCCCGCCGCATAAACTAATAGCAGCACCCACAACGCATGCACCACAAGCCCCTAGCCACCTAGCTAGCTAGCTAGCTAGCTCGGTTAGACAACCTGCTGGATAGCTGGGAGGCTAGCTGGACTGCAGGATAGCTGGCTGAGTGGATGGCTAGATAGCTGAATAGCTAGCTGGCTAGCTACCTGAGTAGGTAGCTGGCTAGGTAGCTGGCTAGCCAGCTTGAGCTGAGTAGCTAGCTGACTATGTGGGTGGCTAGCTGGCTAGGTGATTAGATAGCTAGCGCTGCGTGTGGCTAGACGGATGGCTAGCTAGCTAGCTAGCCAGTAGATGAGTAGCTAGCTGAGGACGGCGAAGAGAAAGGAGACATATCCTCACCTGATCAGGAGCAGATCGCTTCTGCACCGCAAAGCAAACAAACCCCAAGCCCCAAAATGCATGCATTCATACACTGTACATTCCTAATTCAATTTTATATTCTATATTGTTGTAGATACATGCACATACATATATAAATGTATACATATGCATATATATAATACATATATTTATATATTAAGCAAGCATATATTATTTACTTCGCGAGTTGTGTGCACTTATTTATTTATTAATGCGAAGTTATCATATATCTGCGTGGTTATATCTATATATATATATATATATATATATATATATATA